CAAGAAACTGCACATTTCTGTTCAGGAAAAAAAATTCCTCAAATCAAAACAACATCTTCCTCTGTCATTCACAACTACGTGCAATCTGAAACGAAAGGTTGCCGTTTCTTTCCTTCCCCAACGTTTAACACTAGAGTTTTAGCATGATATTCCCCCTCCCTATTTTTTCCAATAAACAATAATATTTTCAATAAACAATCAGTTCTTTTAGCACAATAGTATTTTGCTAAATTTTTGTGTGAAAGATGCTTTTTAGCCCTTTTAGAAGGTATAATTTCAAAAATTTTCTTCACGTCGGACCCAACCATGGTTGGTCCTCCTACCTCATTAAACTTGATTCTTAGTCCCCCTGAGCTAAATTTCGTTGCGCTGTCTGCATCAAGTATCCCCCCCATTAGCTGTTTATTAGCTAGTATTTTGCAAACCAACATTAAATGAAGTGAATATAAAATAGATTACGCTCACGTAGAGAAATAGATATTTCATAGGCAATGAAGTTTCAAGTTTGTTTTTATTGCTTAGAAGTTTGTCCTTGGTAAAGACCAGTGTACACTGGCAAAGCTTTCACTAGTAACCTATAGACAAACCGTTGCTACGAGGTCTGCAGGGCACCAGTCAGTTTTGCAGGGCAGAAACCCTTTTCACCCCCCCAAACCTATTGGCCAAGTTACGCCCCTGTTTAGAATCATCACATTGGAAGTTCATCACAGCAAATATGGCCAATACGACAAGCGAAGTCCTGTATGCCGGGCGAAATATTAGCCATAACTGATTTACTTGTGTTTGTTGTTGTTTGTTCTCGGCACCTTGCGGTGTTTCTTATTTACTGCATTTCACTACAAGGCCCAATTTCTTTGCAATGAGAGGATTGCCTGAAATATCAGAGACTTTCCAAAGCCAGTTGGCAGGCGCGCAACCAGAAATTTCAGAGGGCAGGGGTCCAAGACACAAAAAGGGCACTAATTAAACTTCATTAAAGGTCCACCGGGGCATTTGTTTAGGTACACCGAAAATATGAGCAGTTAGTAAATCTGTAAATATTGTACGCCAGACAAGGGAAACTGATCAATAGAGAAAATTTTGTGGTGTACGGTTTATTTTGTGGTGAGGTGTGATGAAGTTTAGGAGGCCCGAAGGAGGGGGGAAATGGAAAAAACAATGCCTCTTGCGAGCGAAGCGAGCAAAAATTTTGCCACCATACCCTTGCAAATAGCTTAAATTCACTAATTCGTTTAAATTCACTAAGATGTTTTACTTTTTAATTGTAATTTTGTTACTTTTAATAAATTCCATTTAAAAACGGAATTCATTGCTTTGTGAGGCTCCCTAGACCTCGAGGCCCTAGGGCAATTTGCCCCTTTGTCCCCCTCTCGGCGACCCTGCTGTCATCTCCTTTTCCCAGCGCCAGCTCACTTTTGAATAGCAGCCCATCATCTTCCATATCCGAAGACATTTTGCGCTTTAAAATATTATTATTGAATTCTTTGCTTCGCACTACAGATTGGAGGAGGTTGAACAGTTCCACGAGCCTTGCCTTCAGCTTGTTTCTGTCTCCAAGTCTTGCCTTGAGCTGATTTGTAATACTGACAAGGAAGGGAACAGCTGAACATCAACTTTTTGTGTCATATTTACTGCTTGCTAATACCAGTCCGAAAATATTTCCCTGCATTCGCTCGTTTCATGCAAAGGTCTTCTATGACCCTGTCAACTATGTGACAGGCTTGAAAAATGTCTTGGTTTTTATTCTTGTAACTTTTTACCAGAGGTCGTAGAGGCTCTATCCCGTTCAAAATCCTGTGCCTTTATTTTGGTTTTTGAGTCCCAGAACCATTCTTCTTCAAAGCCAGTGCGTAGCGCATCATAAAACACGCTGTAGAGTTGGGGCTTGAAGATATACTCTATTACTGCAACATGATGACGTTCGACCCAACAAGTGCGCGAAAGTTCGACTAAATCATTTATCTGTATTCCTGCGAGGTCCATTACATCTCCGTAGTGTGTCATTTACTGTATGACCAACCATTTTAGCGTAATAGTTAAAATATTCAAGCAATTTTCCAGGAAAAAGGGCACTTTTACCCTTTTGAGAAAAAGGGCAGGGGTCTGGACCCCCAGGACCCCCCCCGTAGTTGCGCCCCTGGTTGGCAATATGGCAAAGGTGTCTCTTCTCTCTACAAACTACAAACAAGGCTTTCAATGCTGTTCTGTGTTCCACAACATGCGGAAAATATTCTTTGAGCATCTTCAGACTCAATCGTTACGGTCGCTAGCATTTATTTATGTTGTGTTCTGTTCAATGTTTTACACCAGAGCTACGTATATCGTTTCGCTGTGACCTTTGAATGTCTGTACACTCGCTCCTGATTGGTTTATATAAGCACACCAGAACGAGAGTGGGGCGCACTAGACCACCTACCCTGGGTACCAGACTCACTATATATGAAATAAAATTATTTTATATAGTGAGTCTGGTACCCAGGGTATAGACCACCAGACTCTTTATTATTTTATAAAGTGAGTCTGGTACCCAGGGTAGGGGTGGGGTAATATTTTGGCAACATACTTTTTAAGATAAAATGCTATGATTTTCAACTGTCTTTACGTAACCATAAGTTGGACATGAGCCTACCTTTGAGGTAAAATTAGCGTTCCATGTTGGTAAAAGAGCGTTTTCTGGTATAAAAAGGGGTGTGGCCTAATTCTTTTGTTTTGTCCCCCCAGAGCCTAGTAGCTAGCGCCGCCATTGAAGCACTGCATCTGTTCTCTTTGCGTGCAAACGTTGTTACATGTCAATTCTGGTGATCTTTGGAGCCGGAAGTCAGCTTTATGATGTGGTTGGTATAGGTGGACGGAAAAATTCGGGCATTTCTACAGTAACAAGTTAGACCATGAAGTCACGGCATATATAAACTGGTGTTTTGCAAATATTTTGTAAAACTTTTGTAGCCAATTCTGTTTTTCATATTACCCCATTTGATTTTCACCAAATATCGATGTATTTGACGCCAATTCTCTGAACTTCTCAGGGTTTTACCTTCTTACCCAAAAAATTAAGATTCGTCATGAATAATTGACCTATATTATAAGGATTAAACGGATTTTTTACCTCTCCTCGTGATATCTTGCTCAGTCAAAGCTTCGATTGCAGCCATCTAAAATTATCCTGTACTCCAAGTCCAAACGATTCGCCTTTCTTTACGTCATGCTCAAAATGTATAACTAAATCGAGACATGCCAAGAGACTATTAACCGGGGGTTGTCAAAGTATCCACCAGCTCCTATAACTATGGCTTGGGAATTAACCATATCGCATGTATACTGGCACCGAAGAGAAAGGAGGCTGGGTAGAGGCCATGACCCCCACTTTAGCCGAAAATGCAAACAAGTTAAGAAATGAACCTGTTTTTATTCGGTTTTAGCCCCCCAACTTTGTTAGAACCCCCATCTTTCTTAACGCTTCACTGTGCCTGATGCTGTACCATGCTCTTGAACAAAATTGATAGCAATTTTGTTGTATTCTTTTGTGGGTCCATAAAGGTACCATAGTTTTCTTCCCTTGCGATGTTACTTTCCTTCTAAAGATTACTTGAATGACCAACGTTATACAGTTCATCAGTAACTTGCAATCTTTAAAAGTTGCCACGTGAATGCTCAAATGGCTTACTCCAGCAATTGAACATCTATTATCAATCGCATAAGCTCGTTGCGACCGAGGGACACTTCACGCTTGCAAATAGCGTACGAGATTTTCCCTAAAACAAAAGGATTTCTGAGGATTTTCATATAAAACACTAGGATTTTCACACAAGGTGTACGAGATCTTCCTTGAGGGATTTGCCCCTCGGTTGTGACATTGCAAAATATGTAAGCTGCATCACCATTCACCAATTGAAAAAAGGAACCGAGTTAAAGCAGAATCTCTTCAAATGGACACCACAACACAAAGGAAGCTTCTTTACAACGGACAATTACACCGGTCTGGACTCGGTCCGATGGTCCGAGCCGACCGGTGTCCATTATAAGGAGGCCCCACTATATAATACAAATTTATATATGTAATGACATTACAGAAAAGGCGAGGAAAATGGGCAGGACACCTGGCAAGAATGCAGAAAAGCAGGTGGGCGAATTGTGTAACAGAGTGGACCAAGGCAAGTCAAGGGATACAGTGGAAGACCTCGGAGGATAAGATCGAGACGCGTGGTGAGAGATGTAGAGGCGATCTATCAGCAGTGACGTCATCAAAGATCTATTTTTAGACATTCTCAATTTTGACCATGTAATCTGAAAGGACACCATAAAAACTGTCAATATACAAAATCAGTTAAATATGTTCAACGTTGGGTGACATGAAAGATTTCAAATTGGCTAACAGATTACTATTGTTCTGGCCTGGTTCGTGAAGTTATGAACCAAGACCAGATTACAGTACTTTGATAGAGAAAGAGCCTGTGCTAATATGAGCACACCTCTGCCAGAAACACATTCGACTGACTTTGCACATTTAGAGCAATTTCATAATGCAGTCTTTGCGAAATTGAAAAATTCTAAAAATAGATTTTTGTGACATCATCAATAAAGATCGATTTTGTTCCGTCCATGTCTGCACAATATTACCCTTCATTTGGACTTTTGTATATCTGAAAACCATTGCTTCACTTGAATTCACGCTAGGTATTCAGTTAGTTTCAGTGGCTAGCGACAGCAATGATGACGAGTTTATTTAAAGGGTTTTATATAATAATGTATCTTGAATTGACAATAATTAAATCGAGTTAAAAGTTAATGTCTAGCATTTGGGGGGTTATGAAACATTTGAGGGGAATTTTATTTTCTTATTTGCTGCTGCAAGCCCTCAATCAAACCAAACCATAAAAAGGAGGAGGGGAAAGTTAAGAAGAAAAGGAGGGGGGGGGGGATAAAGTTTTGAACTGAAGTGGTCATAAGATTCCAGGGGGCACGGAAAAAGACGAGTTGTGAAAACCAAGGAAAACTACAGATTTTCGTTGTAGAGACTTTTAACTAACATGTATATTTACAAATCTTAATTATTCTGCGAAAAAATTCTTCAATAGATTAGATCAATTAAAAAATAACACACGGAATACTCTAAATGCTTGGCTTTAGTTCACACGTGAACGACCATGCAACGGTCTTTCACTGAGAGGAATCAAGGGTTCAACCAAATTGATTGAAGCATTTTAAAACCACTGGGGTTGATCGTCATTTTCAAATTTCTAGCTTTGGTAGCGGTTTCGTCGAACATGCAACTCTAAAACACGGTAAACAGATTGTTAAAGACGGTGGATACCCATTTCACTATGCCAACACGCCATAAATAAAAGCATGTTGTTTAGTTTCGCGGAGAAGCGGATTGATTCAAAACAAACTGTTGGAAGAATTATTTTGTCCTGACGTTATGGCCAAACATGTTCATCTATAGAAAACAGCCTGCAAAACTGCATCCGCGGCAGCACTCCCACAATTTCAATAGAAATGAAAACATTAATCTTAACAACAATACCATTAGAGTGTTTTAGAAGTTGTTTGCGTCCGGATTCAAAGCATGACGTTCAACTGTAGAAAACTTTTTAAAAATGTGCGTCACTAAACGCTCTCAATCGTCAGCAAATTCGTTCAATGATAACCGACATCGAAGACTAACTATCATTGCCACCAGCAACGGAGTAACAGAATTTCAAAGTTGACTGCCATAGGGAATAGAGTTCTAAAGAACGACGTCAAAAAAGCTATTATTAGAATATAAATTTCAACCACATAAAATAACACCATGAAATGCTTCCAGATATGCAAGACCAGGTCAATGAGTCTAAAATTGGGTGAGCTTTGGCCAACGAAAGATTCGAAGTTTGCTAACGAATCACTGATATTTTGGCTCTGTTCGTAATGTTACGAACCAGGACCAAATTACAGAGGTTTGATGGGGAAAGAGCCAGTGCACACGTACCCTGTGTCCCAGACCATCTACTTCCAGGTTAGGGGTGGCCATATGTGCCCATATCTCAGCCAATTTGCAACACATTTGGCTGATTTTAGAGGTTTTTCATGATGTTCTTTCAAGATTTTTCCAACGTCATCACTTCAGAACTCTAAGTGTCTAAAGCCTATTTAATTGGCTCATATTTTCCATAATTCAATACTGGATGATCTACGTAAAAATCATCATTTAAAACTGGGGTGGGACATTAAAGGAATTCAAAGCTTTGAAAGAGTGTGCCCCATATTAATTTTTTTATCTGCTACGATAGTAAATATCTGGCAACGACGAGATTGTACATGGAAACGGGTGTGTCTATGCATTCCAAAAGACAATATTATAGACGATAAATATCAGGTGGTTGCTGTCTAAAGTTTCTAATGATTCATTCGCCTAAATAAGCTGGTGTTCCTTAAAGAGGGATTTAAATTTATCTAATTTCTAGCAACAAAGTAAAAACTTCGATGGACGCTGGGCATAGGCCTAGAAAACAAGAAAAATGGCGGCCAACAAATTTACAGCATTTTTCTGCGTTTTAAAACCCCGATTCATAACCCAGTATTAACAGTACGGTAGCCACAATGACAAGAATTACAGGGGGTACTCAGTAATTCGGAATAAAATTAATGGGTCTGAAGAACTTCTTCCATTTTCCAAGGAAGAACCTTGAAACATTCTACACAGGTTTTGGATGAAATATTCTTCGTCGATTTTAAATAAATAAACTTTGCTATTATTAACTTACGGAAATAAAAAAATTATAGTTTGACAATTAATATACAGATAAAGTGTTCAGAATTAAACGTTGCATAATGTACTTCGCGAGAACACTCAGGCTTGATCGCGTTCTAAAAAGGGGCTCAATGCAGGAAAATGAAAGAGTTCTAAAGGGGCCATAGATCAGCCTAGAGGTCTCCCGATCTGTATATTAGCAATAGACAATAACGCTCTTGATAAATCCGATATCAATTTCAGTTCAGTATCCCATACCAGAATTCTTATATAACTCTAAACTAGTGAAATCTGTAGGCAGGAAATTCCAAGACAGGAACCGGGCCTTATCTGCGTCTGATTCCAACTTCCATCACTTTTAAAACAAAGAAATTCTATCGATATGATTCCAATGAAAGTTTGACGGGCGCAGAATTACAGGTTCCTTGCATCTTGTGACGAGATAAAGTTGTAGTTAGCAACGAGGAATCAAATTAACACGGAAACTTCGTTTTTGACGCAACGCACTGCGTCAACGTCCTGAACATACATTAATGCGCCCAGAATGAAATGCACCCAGAAGGAAATGCGCCCAGAATGAAATGCACCCAGAAGGAAATGCGCCCAGAAGGAGAGGCACATTCAACGTTTTCGCAAATAGTTGTATCAGACATTTTATATCTGCTCTTCGTTGATTTTCGCGTCACTAGTAAGTGTTTCACAAACCAAAGACTACATTATGAAATCCTCTTGATTGCTCTGCACATTGATATTGTCTCTGTGCATAATAATTGACTGTTTGCGTTGCCTTCTAAACGAACCCCGAGAAGGAAGCACATTGATAGGGCTATTGGAATGTTTTCGACAGGGGTGTTGTCGTCTAAAAGGTCCTGGAACACCCGAATTCAAGTTCATCATCTCCGAGTCTTCAAAATCGTCACTACTTCTATTAAGCGTGCTTTGGATAGCAGTCGTCAAGTTATTTCCGGATATGGGCAAACCGATGGTTTGTTGTTGTTGCAGTTGCTGTTGCTGGAATTGCTGTTGCAACTGCATTTCTTCGGGTTTTGGATAAAGTTCAAAGGGCATTTGTTGGTGCTGCCGTAGCTCCTCCTGTTTGTACAGGTCATGATATGCAACATGATCAAGGTGTTGCTGGTAGATCTGTTCTGGAGTAAGACTTCGCTGATGGCTCTGCTGGAGCTTCAGAAGTTCATGTTGCTCATTGTGGACTGCATTCACTTCCACCTTGTGCAGCAGCTGTCGAAAAGGAGCATTTGAGGGATTGCCTTCAGAAGCTCGTCTCCCTTCACTAAAAGCAGGGTACGATATAGGACAAAGTCTTTTTAATTTTGTATCTGTCCGTTGTGGTCTAACAACTGTCGCAAGCGAATTAGACAATTGTTCTGTGGGGGGAATAATTTGTATTCTCATTCCATTTGGTAAACTATACCCATCAGTCTCATGTCCCATTTCCATTTGTGCGCTTTCGTCCCTATCATTATTTACTTTCAACAATGGATGATTCGCAGGCACAAACAGAGTTTCTTGCTTCGGTTGTTGATCAAATGTTGGTAAGATACCCATGCGCCTGACACGCCGCTTATTTTGTTCCACAGGCAATGTAGCATATTCATTTCCTCGTGTTGGCTCATCACCATTTTCACCTGCAACATCCTCTTGAATGGTGGGGGTTTGCCCACTGGCAAGGAAAGAAGGGCTAGCATATGACATATGGTGAGGTGATGCACTGAGAGAATGGGTAAGTAGTTCAGATGAGCATCCTGGTACTTGAGGTTGCATATCAGTAGGTATTGGAACATCTCCAATATGTAAATCAGTAAGTGCATATTGTAATGGTGTGATGGGCACTTGGCGTGGTATTGGCTGCATCATCTGTGGTGTGGAACTTTGGACAAGGCTTTGGACCATACCGTTCTGTATGATAACCTGATCTGCCATGACACTGGCTCTACGCAGCCTGGTTCCATATCTTCGTTGTTCTGGGTAACTAGATCGGTGCTGCTTCAGCCTGTCAGCTAGCAAGTAATAAATTGCACTGTGGTGGTCATACAGGTTTTCTTTAACAGACTGAAACATAAGATGGGCAAAATTTAACATTAGCATGAATGAAAAATGGTATACTAAAATAAAAGATAAATATATAAATATAAATACCATGCATAGGGAGGTTTTAATAAATATGGCTGAATAAAAATCATAATAAATGTATATTTAACTGCTACATAAATTACCAATTTTCATACAAAAAACAATATTGAAGGTTTCAATTGTTAGATCTGTTTTCTTAACCGAAATTTTCAAAGATGCGAAGGAAATGAAAAAAATCACCTTTTTAGTCTTTTCAATATCAATTTTTAAACCCTGCATTAGAGATATGATTTGAGAGTTCAGTTCTCCATCAATCCCTTTGTCAAAGTTTGCATGGAGTGTTTGGTTCCTTAAAATCTCCGTATTTTGCCCAGGCCCCTTCTGCATCCAGGGGTGCTCTTTGATTTGCTGGATTGTGTACCTCTGTGCTGGGTTTTTCACTAATATCTTCTTTATTAAATCTTCCAATTCTATGGTCAAGATAACATTCATTCAAATTCCAAATTACTGGCAAGATAAACATTTAGTTTGAAGCTTCCAAAATGAATAGAAAGCTACCAAAAATCAAAAGCAGCAATTGACTGGCATGTAATTTGCTAAGTTCCAAGTTTCTACTTTCCATTTATTGATGAAGCATTTTCAAACAGTTTGTAACACAGCCTGAAAATTGACCACTTACAGCATCCAACTCAACAGTGTCTCTTCACAATAAAACTGATGTGAAAATAATTTGTACTCACCACTGGACATAAAGTATGGTACTCTGAATCTCCCTGACAAAACATGATCCCTAACCTCTGCAAATGATGTTCCATCAAATGGCAATGCAGCACAAACCAAAACATATAATACTACTCCAAGACTCTAGAATAAAAAATAATTCATATTTATAAATCTATATATGCTGATAGTGCCGGCAAAAATGCTAAACATATCCACTAATATTGTTTATTTTATCACTTTTACAATGAACTCCTCTTTAAAAGCAGCTTTCAAATGACTTTTTATGATTGCATGCAATTAACTGTACACATGTCTTAAAAATGATAAAATAAAAACACAACAGAAATGAAATTTATGATTTCTTAAAAGCAGCTCTTATACATAAAAATTACTCAAATTATATACCAAAATACCAATTATATACAGTTTGCAACAACATACCCACAAATCAACTTCAGGCCCAAAATATTCTTTGCCTTCAAAAATTTCTGGTGCTGCATAGGGCGGGCTACCACACCAGGATTTTAAATGCTCATTGTCTTTAAAAAAGTTTCCAAAGCCAAAATCTACAACAAAAGTGTTCAAATCAGTTTCAGTTTCATATGAAAAGTGCAGCCATTTGCTTACCTTTGTATTGTTACTTAAAAACTTAAGAAAATTGAATAAGCATGTGTGATTGAACAAGTTAAAATAATATTAACTAGCATGGCTTTAAGCTAAAATTGTTTGCATGTGTGTGGGTATAAGCATGTATGAACCACAAAGGTCTCCAGGAAGAGGTTGCCCAAAACAGATAGAAGAGGCTTGGTCTTTTTATGAAAACAGATTATAATACTGACACTGACTAACCTGCTATTTTCAAATTCATGTTCTCATCCAACAGTAAGTTCTCAGTCTGAAATCAAATAGAATTCCAATAATTTCTACATATAATTTCTGAAATCATTATAAGGAATACTATGGAATAATTTCTACATTCTATATTATATTATACATATAAAATGAAAATTACTGTTTAACAGTCTCTGCCATAAAAGTGCCTGTTAACACATAGGCAGAGTTGTACACACTATTTAGTGTAAAGAACCGATTTGGTTTTAAAATGCCAAGTTGATGAGTTTCATGCTTAATGGGATCATCAGGCAAAAATAAAGAATGACATATATTCTAAGATTTGAATAAAATACTGGCTTAATTAATATAAAAAGTAACAAAAAAGGTTGATTATTAATGACCATCTAATATTGAAAACATAATTATTAATATATATAGAATTCTATACATATTTTTTAATAAATGATAAATAAGTGATTTAAGTCAAATTTGATTAAAACTAAATTTGCAAACCAACAAACTGACCCACCTTAATGTCTCTATGTACAACATGTCGCTGATGACAATAATCAACTGCTGACAATATCTGGCAAAAAATTCTCCTTGCCTCTTCCTCTGACAATCTTCCAGTCTTATCAATGTGAGCTGTCAACAAATTTTAAAAAATTTAATAAAATTTTAGGATGATAAAACACCAAATTTAGCTTTTTAAACAACTTTAAACTTCATGATAATAAAAATTCACAGAGGCAAATTCTTCTTGTTACCCTCCAACAGCAAAATTTCATGTCTAAATTATCAGAAAAAAGTAATTACCAAACATCTCTCCATTTGAAGCATACTCAGTTACAATGTACATCATGTTTGATGTCTCCATAACCTAAACAAGTAATAAATTTGTTAATATATTTTCAAAATAGAAGTAACAACACATAAACCTATCAGTATACAAATGGCTAGGTAAAGTACAAAAAAGAAAATAAAAGACCATGTTTGTCATTTTATGATTTGGTCTAGGTAATTGATTTGATTTGTAAACAGCACCATTTATATTGGCTTCCAATTATTTTTTTCTTGGACAATGATAAAAATTAATGCACAAAACGGAAGCAATACTATATATTGAAAAGCACAATTCACCATCACAAGTATGCCTAAAGATAAAGTTTTAAGTAAATCACAACGAAAATCTCCCTCAAAAATAAGACCATCCGATTAACCAAATGCCACTTTGTATATATGTCAATAATTTGCACTTAATTTAAAGTTGAGTGCTTCTGAACTCTCCATGTGTATATAAAATCTATTGTGGATTTTTTGACAGTTTAGTAAACTTAGTGGCTTTTTCACTTTTTTAAATGCTTAGAAAATGGCCACATCAATAAAAAAACTGAAAAACTTAATTTTACACACCTGATAAAGCTTCAGCACATGTTGATGACGAAGGAATTTCATAATTTCAACCTCTCTGCGCACTTTTGTGATATTGCTTTGGTCAAGACGACTTTTGTCAATAATTTTGATAGCAACCTTCATGATAGAAAAACAAAGGTTACGAAAAAGGCTATTTTGAAGGTTATATAGGTAAAATATGATTTCTCAATAATTATACAAACACTACCACAGAATATATTCAGGCATTTCCATCACTACCTTATAAACAAATTCGTTCACACTATCAAAATGACTTCTTATTTTGCCTGACTGACAGCAACAGAATGTAGGGTGAAATTTTGGGGATGCCACTAAGTAGCATTTTATATAGATGGTCAAGAGAAAAGAACCAGGGCAGGTGACAATCAAGTAGATTGTGCAACATCTAAAAAAAATTGACACAAATCTTGGTTACTTTCTATATTGTGCTTTTTACAGAAATTGGTTGGAAAAAACTTGTAAGAAAAACCAGTCAGTTTTTACTGAAGCTCGCAGTCTGTTGGCAAATATTTATAGTTGAGCAACTGGAAACTGTGTGCATAAAGCATATTTGCAGAAAATCATATGAGTAATGTCATCTCGCATTCACACTATTCATGACAGGATTCACGTAAACCATGTCCTTTGCAGACAAAGCATGACATTCAAAACGCTATTATATGCTTCCTTCCACGCAACTTTCAAGACGACCGTGCGTAAATCATCACGCAAAACATACAATATGAAGGAAGGGCTCTAATGCCATTAATAAATGCAACTTCTCTTCCTTTTATGAGGATACATTATTTCCTAATTTACGAGTCTGATTCTGCAAGACGTCTGATCGTCAAGACGAAGTCTACAGAGCATCGATGACAAAAGGCAAACGAACTGAATCATGTTGCTAATTTTGTTATTAGTTTAAACTTCAAGTTTCTTGCAAAGACGTAGTGAGTAACAATAATTCAAATAAAAAATCTGGATTTTCAACTAAGTAAACATAAGGATGAAAGGTGGGAGAGGGTTTTGTTGACAAGCCTACCCGGTTGAAATTCGAACAAAATCTTATCGAACAACACGTCTCAATACGCTTTTAAAGTCAGAATTCAAAATCTTCACTTGACACAAACTTCGGTCCCCATAAGTTAGGCGCTATTTGATGCAATTATTTCTAAAAGCTACAGTTACAAACGAAACGAATAATGTTTATAATCGCAGAAATGGCAAGAAGGGTCATTCTAAAAGCCGTGCTTCTGACTTGATGAGGATCTCACTAAATTCTACCAGATGCGGCAAAAATGATTAACAAACTTCAGTTCAGAATGAAAGTCGAAATCGTAGCAGTTAGGGACCAAAACATTGTCTGATAAGAACAAGGCCAACAAACTGTACCGGCAGTGCCTGGCACAGCTGCAAAATTTCAGTGATCTCGAGCAATCGATACTTAAACTGGGTATCTCAACACTTAAAAGCTGACAAAAGAGCACAATTATATTTTGCAACATATTTAGAGGCTTTTTATTCATAATCAAGTATAAAATGAAGATTTAAACGCATTTACCTGGGACTTGGTAATCCGGTGACGGCCGAGTTTGACAACGGCAAAGTTGCCTTTCCCGATCGTCTTCTCGATATCATAAAATCCGACTCGAAGCGGCTGTCTCTTAAAGTGATCATCAGGCTCTTTGGCCATCATTCCCATTCTAACAACATACAAATTCAAGAAACTTCTGACTTCTTGTAGCGATGATCTTCTGCATGACACTACAAAATGGTAAGATCACATAACTCAGACGACCGATTGCTGTTGTTCCTGCATGCGAACGGTTCTTGCTTACGCACAACTTCAACACAACCTGAAAATTTCAAGTCTTCTCCTTCGCATCCCCAAACGGGTGCTTCGCAGAGTCTTATAAACAAGAATCTGTCGGTTATATAATAAAATCATAGTATAACAACATCCAAAACTGGTTCTTCATATTAATGACACTTACTATAAATAGGTATGTATTTGTAAATATAATCAATTTACACATCATTGAACTGAATAAGCAAAACAAGAAAAAAATGACGAGAAAGTGTGTTTTATACGAAAACACTTCAACGAAAATACCAAACTGCGTCGGAGCCCATGTTGACATCATTTTAAAAACGTTATTAAGTGGTTAGACAGTTTTTAAACTATGTTTTGCGTTTCATAATTTTATTAACCTCACATCGGCATCCGAATCCCTGCCCAAGGTTTCTATAGTTTGCGATCCTGATATTTGATTTGCAAAACCTATGAACGGAAAAATGTGATGGAAATTTTATAAAAACCCCCAAACTTTCATAGTTTTACAAAACTTTTTCGATCATTAAATGTTCATTATCAGTTATAAGAAAACTGTTTAACTGTCAGACAAGAAATTTTCAGAATGTTTTGCAACTACTTAAATATAAGCTTTGTGTCCCTGTGAGATGCTCGCTCCTTGCCCGCATGAAAATATTTTTTCATGCGCAATTTGCAGGTGGCTCCGCAAATACTCTTTCCTAAATTCTCTACTTGAATGGTGGAAATGCGTCATCATGAAGCTATTTCGCCGATTTGACCAATGAGATTGACCTTTGAAAACCGAGCTCTGCAGTTCTATTGAATATTCTCAGACAAATGATTGAGACATTGACGTATTTACCAATTACTGACGTCACAAAACACAAAGGATACGTGTTGCTTGCATCAATTACTGCTAAAAAATGGCATGTGGGAAAAAAGCTCTAGAAATAAAATGCGATTTGTTATGTCAATGATTATCACCAATAAACAAAACTGATGAAAGCGTGTACGCACACAGATGAATACAAGAAAAAGATCCGTTCAGTTCTCGCTTCGCGAGTAAGTGGCCAGCAAACGTCACATAGCAAATGAGCAGAATGCAACTGGGACTCGCTCGTAGATATTTAGGTCAGCAAACCCCACCGCCACGCCAACAATGCCTTCTCACCATCTGGGCTGTTTACAAAAGACACGTGTATTTGATACAGCGTCTTGGATAAGGATGGGGACAATGACTGTATGCACTCAGTATTTAGGGCCTAGGGGATGAAGGTTGGGGCACAGATGAATTGCGGGTTTACGGATTATGGAAGGAGCGTGCGCGAATATTAATGTCTTTAATTTCTACAGTATTCTCTCCAATTAACGGACACTCTAAAAGCTTACGCTCAACTTGGTTATTTTTTTTAGTGTCTAAGTTCAACCCGATAGCCACTAATTACCCAGACTACACCCAGAGGTGGCGCCAGAAATCTTCCGACAGAGGGGTTGGAGCTTCCGACAGGGGGCTAAAATAACTAAAATATGCAGTTTTCGTACCTTATTTTGTCAAATTTGCTCCGACAATAAACTAAAATTTCCACCAATGGGGGGAGGGCTAGGTGCTTCCGACGGAGGGGCTGTAGCCCCCTAGCCTTCCCTGGCACCACCACTGATTACACCTTTTAAATACAATACTAGGGTCTATTTTCAACTTTGGGACGTACATTGCAAAACTTTCCAAAAGGCGGACACTTCCAATTAGCGGACACCTTGCTCTGGCCCCTACGGTGTCCGCTAATTGGAGAGAATACTGTATGCAAACTTAAACATGCTTATGTGATATCTCTTTGATCAAAAAATGCAAAAAGTGGAACTTTGGCATGTCTGCCAAAGTATAGCTCATCTATCAACTTTTCTCATTTGCATACCCACTGAAGCAGTCTCCTATGGACAGGAAGATTTGAAGCAAATTTGAGAAAAACATTGGAATCTATTTACGGGCATAAACGTAATGTTTATGCAAACAATTTGAGTGGGTGTTGGAAGAATTTTCTCTCAAAAGCTTGGTTAGGAGGGGTTTTGTGGAAACTGAAACAGGATTTTATCCCTGAGAATAAAAACGTTCTTAGATAACATATGGTTCCATTTTCTTTCTTGCTATGGGATCAACAGGATTATCTTAGAAATATCTCGATCTCTCATCAGTAAACAGGATGCTTGAAACAGGAAATGCGAGGTTTTTGATTGCAAACCAGCTAGGCATTGTATTGAGATAACGTAAATTTTGACTTCTATAAAAACATCATTTAGCGATAATCTTGACTTCTATAAAGATCTGAAAAAGTTCTCGAGCTTATAATCAGTGTCGTCTAAGGAAGAAGGCTTAAGGTTAAGAATGAAGAAATGACCACCACAGGGCCTACGCCACGAATTTGAAAGTGGGGGCCAAGGCTTTTCCCCTTTTACTGCGGCATTAAAACTACTTGTGTGAGAAGAAAGAACCGCAGGGGCAAATCACTCCTGAAAATGGTGTACGAGATTAATAACCACAAGTGATTATTATGTGATTAATTTGATTTCTTTAGTGATTAAAGTGATTAATTTGTGATTAATGCATGACTTTTTAAGAATTAATCACATATTCGAAAGTGCTTTCAAATAGGTTTCTGTGCAATCAAACCCGTTTGAAGAGGTGACATGGGGCAAGATACATAAATAAAACGAAAATACATAATGGTAAACCAAGTCATAGGTCAAATTAAACTACAGTATTTCGTGAATCAAGTGACAACCTATCATGGCAGACTGGCAGAGATTTTGTTACGTAGATCAGCAGTCAACGGGAAATGAGTATAAACAGGGACGTTGTGGATCCTAGAAAAGGACCGGGAGAAAATGATCATAAGGAGGCCCACTCATCTATATGACATATCCAATCTCAAACCACAGGTCGCCAAAATGGTACGTACCTGGAAACCATGCACCTGCGAAAAATTAAAAAGATGCAAGTTTTTATCTTCTTTGAAGGTTCATTTGCCATATTTGTTGTGGTGTATTCTCTTTTCTCTAACCACAGTCTCTTTAAGACTGCAAAAAATGTGAAGCAAATCCAATGCTTTAGTGCACATTTGATACAAACACAAACGTGACAGAGCACTTAGGTGGACTGCGAGCGTAGCGAGCAGAAAAATTTTTCCGGCCACACCCTTTAAATTAGCTTGATATATATTTCAGAATGCTTTTTACAGTCGTTTACAGCATTTTACAGCATTTTTCAGGCATATTTTGTTGCGTTTCGTTAAAATTCAGTTCTTAAATTGGAATTCCTGGCTTTAAGAGGCTTTCTAGACCTCGAGGCCCTCGGACATTTTGCCCTTCCTTGTCCCCTCTCTGCGGCACTGTTCATATTCCACGCATCTCCTTCACAGAAGTCTGTTTGTCCTGGGTTTTACAAACTCACTTGAAAGGGGCCCACCGGGAAATTTCCCGGTGTTCCGCCTAGCCACAACGCCCCAGCTTGGAAGTACTTAATAATCAGTAACAAAATTATATTTCGTGAGAACGAGGCCTTCATTTTTGCTTATGTTCCAGAGTTTTGGCAGATTTTTGAACATGTCAATAAAATGTGGAAAACCTTGAAAGGGACATTTAATTTCTTTCAATAACATAGACGAATAGACGTGACCATAGATTCAAATATTTGCGCTTTATGTGACTGGTGATTTTTTGTGATTGATATGATATTTATGCGATTAATGTGACTTTTTTGTGATTAATGTTATTATTTTGTAATAACAATGTGTTTATTTTTGAGAGCGTACGTGATTTTAAACAGTGATTTGTCCCTCGCCGCAAGATAGGCTGTCCGCCGGATTCTGTAAGTCTTGCAATGAGTATCAAATTAATACGAGGATAAAATTCGGGAACAAAGCAAAACGGCGACGAAAATCCAGTGTTATGAGATTAATTTTCAAAATAAATTAGCAAACAATCTTTTGGTGGTACAAAACTTGAAAATGGCTTTGAAAAAAAAGCAAACATTTAGTAAACTAAAGCTTTCGTCTGACACTCTTCAGAGTTTAAAACGTCAGAACATAGATCGAAAACTCTACGCTAGGAAATATATATACCAGTTGTGGATCGAAATAGGCCAATCAGAAACACGAGCACATGACTGTATAGGTTGACCAATCAGTGCAGCTAGCCTATCTGACGTTTTAAACTCTGAAGAGTGTCAGACGAAAAGCTTTAGTTTACTAAATGTTTTTTCTTTTTTCAAAGCCATTTTAAAATAAATTAGATTAAACGAATACTATTATTTCGTCCCGGCATACAGGGCTTCATCAGAGTAAATGAAACGAATGAGTCAACTACTTGCTTTGGAAAGAAGTAGGGGGGCATGGCCCCTCCGGCCCTCCCGGTGGCATGGGCCCTGCATCAATCAAGGGAGTTCTCCAGTGATGATGTCATAACCCAGGGTGCATTCCATGTACTTAGGCCCAAAGATCTTCGGCGTACACTCGGCGGTTTTTTTGGCGCTCGGCGTGCAAAGCAGTAAAATTTTTTTTTTGCACATAAAGTTTTCGTTAGTTGACGTGTTGAACATGAAGGCACGTACATACAGGGCCGGCGAAACATATTTGAAAGTGGAGGGGCCAAAATATTAAAGTCTTGAAAGGGCTTAGGAAAGGGCGCCACCATGATTGGCGGCAAGAAAAATTTTAGAATTAGAATTATGGTGTGTTAGGGATGGCCAGAAACTGTATCTAAAATGAATTTTGATTGAAGGTGTCGCATAGTCGCGTCTATTGTGATGCTGACTTGAAATAGAAAAGTTTTGCAAAGTTTTAGAAAAACCACAATCATATAGCGCGTGATGAAACCTTTTTTGGATTTTAAAAGTACCGGGATTAAGACGAGGGAGAAAAATAAATGAAACACGGATTAATAAAAAACATTAGCGTTG